TGGGGTTTTTCACCAAAATGTGTCTCTTTAAACCCACAACATCCCCCTTTTAAAATTTATTAATGCCATTTTTTAAAAACTAAAAAAAAAAAAAAAAAAAAAAAAAAAAAAAAGCATAGCAGCATAGCTAATGGTAAGGACCATGTTGAAAAATTGTGCTTTGTAGCTGAGAATTTGCTCTTTCAAATTGTGTTCTTTGTGTTCTTTGTGTTCATTGTGTTCTTTGTATGAAAGCATGGAAATAAATAGGAGGCATTGCTTTCAGAATGACCTACATATATGCAGCCCAAGACAATTTCTGTTTACTCAGTGTGGCCCAGGCATCCCAAAAGGTTGGACACATTTAATCTAGTCCAGCCATCAACCCATCACCACCTTGCCCATTAGCCATGTCAACCAACTCCATGGAATTCCACGTGGTGTTTTCCTGTCTTATCTCCATGATGTCTATGCTTACGTATTTCTCCAGTCTATCAGAGGCCCTTTGCAGAGCAGCCCCAGCTTTCTGCCTCCCAGCTGAAATTACACCAGGCTTGTGGGAGGGCATATTCTGTCCTATTGCCCTAGCTGTTGATAAGGATGTCAAACAGCATTGGCACAGCACTGGTCCCTGAGAAAGGGTGCTGGCACCCAGCTGCTGCCTGGACTTTGCACACCTGATGGCACTGCTCTGTGCGCAGTATTCCACCCTCTGCTCTCCCTGTCCTCATTTTGGCTCAGGATGTGACTGAAGTGCACGCCTTGCAGCATTTCAACTTGCAGGTTAGGAGTATCTGGGGCACTATTTCCATGTCACAGATCACTTTCATAAAGGAACCTTTTGAGCTAGGCTCTCTCAGCTTTTTGATGGTCTTCATTTATGAGTTTTGAGGAGCAAGCTACAATCAAATTGAAATGTTTGCACAAACAGCAGAGGTTGGCCAGGTGCTGATACCACGTGCTGTACTTTCACCCCCGTTCTTTGCTGCTGAACACCATGGGTATTCAGTGAACACTGTTGCACTATGGCTGTGAGGAGCTGCAGGAGCAGGAGGAGCCTGCATGTAGCTCCCAATTTGTTCCTCCGCTTGGAGGAGCCCTGTTGAAACAGGGCTCATGTGCTTCAGGCACTCCCTGGAGGTGTTCATGAACTATGTGGATGTGGCTTGGAGGCTGGTGGTTGGACGTGATGATCTTAGAGATCTTTCCAGCCTCAGTGATCCTATGATTTTTTTTTGCAGCCTTATGCAAAAGAACGAGAACACTACTTTGGCGAAGGCATTGAGGACTGCAGTTTGAAGAGGCAGATAGGCAACATCTGTAGACATCAAGCAGTGGTGAGTCCCTGCCACACAGAGTGGGTCTTCAGCAAGGTGAAGAAAAAAATTCTGTATCAAACCAGTGTGCCCTCAGTAATAGTTGCCCTTCCTCTGGTATGAAAAGGAAAACAATTCTTCCTGCAGAATCAGAATTTCTTTTGTTTTCTTCTTCCTCATCATTAACCATCTGGGAGATGGGGGATGCACAAAGTTTTAATCATCATTCATTCCAGGCCAGTAAGCTGTCTGGCATCTTTTTCATATGTCTGCATATTTTAAGTAACCTAACTTTACAACAGATTTGGAAATGTCTTAAAATTGCTGCGGCAGCTACATTTTCATGTTCAAGTTTCATTTTCCTGAAACAGAAATCAAACTTGGAAGTTCTTGTTTTTACTGGCACTTTATGCTCTTTGTGTTTTAACATATTCATTAAGGAAGCAAGTGAAAGTAAGAATTATTTTTAACTTATTATAATCATAGAGTCATCATAGTTGGAAAAGATCTCTAAGATCATCCAGTCCAACTGTCCGCCTAACAGCAACATTTCCCACATCTTTCACCACAGCTGCTTATACTTAGGTCAGTCATATGGAGGAATGGTTCCCTCCTGCCCAAGTCAGGTTTTCATATAGATCCTCTTGAATTTATTCAAACACAAACCATTACAGACGGTGTGTTTCTGGAGCTCAGGGATGTAATGTAATAAGGCACTGGATGCTAAGATTCCCCATGGCATCAGTTACTGCAAAATTAATTGAATGCAAAGCTTTGGGCTCATTTTGGAGAGGTCCATTGCAGGATCTCACCTCTGGAGCAGTACCCAGGAAGGCCTGCAGCCCAGAGGTCTACAGTACACTGGTTCTCAAGGAACATGGTCCACAGTCAGCATGAGCAAATCTCATCTATACGTTAAACTTCAGATACCAAAGCAGATCACACAGAATCACAGAATCACAGAATCACAGAATCACAGAGTCGCAGAATCACAGAATTGTAGGGGTTGGAAGGGAGCTCCAGAGATCATTGAGACCAACCCCCCTGCCAAAGCAGGTTCCCTACAGCAGGTTACACAGGTCGGCATCCAGGCAGGTCTTGAACATCTCCAGAGAAGGAGACTCCACCACCTCCCTGGGCAGCCTGTTCCAGTGCTCCGTCACCTCACTGTAAAGAAGTTCTTGTGCACATTTGTGCAGAACTTCCTATGCTGCAGTTTCCAGCCGTTTCCCCTTGTCCTGTCTCCACTCACCACTGAAAACAGCCTGGCCTCGCCATTCTGCCCCCCACACCTCAGATACTTATAGACCTGGATCAGGTCCCCTCTCAGTCATCTTTTCTCAAGGCTGAATAGACCCAGTTCACTCAGCCTTTCCTCATAGGAGAGATGCTCCAGGCCCTTCACCATCTTTGTGGCCCTCCGCTGGACTCTTTCCAAGAGATCCCTGTCTTTTTGTACTGGGGAGCCCAGAACTGCACGCAGTACTCCAGATGAGGCCTCACCAGGGCAGAGTAGAGGGGGAGGATCACCTCCCTCGACCTGCTGGCCACGCTCTTTTTAATGCAACCCAGGAAGCCATTGGCCTTTTTGGCCACGCTCTTTTTAATGCAACCCAGGATGCCATTGGCCTTTTTGGCCACAAGGGCACACTGCTGGCTCATGGCCAACCTGTCATCCACCAGGACACCCAGGTAATCATCTGCTCTTTAAGGATTAAGACAGATTATACTATCCACTTCAGACATGGAGTCCTTGCAAAAGAGCATCCTGCTTCCTCCGGCTGATACCAGTGGTTAACCATCTTCACATTGATCTCTGGTTTGCCTGAAGGCTTGAGTACCTGGTCCTTCACCCTGCCCCCATCCCTTGGGTTTGACTTGTTATACAGCAATTCTGCATCTGTTTTGCTATTCTTGTATTAAAATAATATGAAACTTGACTTCTGGAGCAAATAAGGCAAAAAAGAGTGCAGAATTGCATGACCTACACATACACTACTGTAACAAATGTTTGTTTAGCATCCTCCATGCATTTCTCAGGCACACTATTTGTACTACTCAGTAAAGGTTAAGCGCTACAGAAGTTATACGATTTTCTGTCTTTCTGTGTATAGTTAATGACTTTGTACATTGCAGACATAGATCAAATGTCATGCTAACACCTCTCACTTGTGGAATCAGACACCCCATCAAGAATTCAGATAAATGGCTCGGTGATAGAATTCTTAAGTACACGAATGAATGAGCAATCATCCATGAGCAAAGCTGACATTTTCATATGGATGCTACTATTTGGTGAAGACGAGACAACATCTTCTGCAGTTCTTAACAGCTTTGCACCTTTTTTTTCAGACTGATGGTCCTCTACCTTGAAGTCTTACGGAAAAAAAGAGCAAACATTTGCTTCCAGGTTGTGCAAACTCCTGTCCCAGTTTATCTCCTTGAATCCGTTCATGCTGTCCTAGCAGAGGAAGATGAATGGCCATCAGCAGAAAATACATTTTTTGAATTTGGCCTTGGTCCATGGGAGGAAAATAATATTGCAACATGTCTTACATAAGAATATAGGACCAGGCAAATTCATTCGTGTAATGAAATCATACATCCTCCAAATGCTGCTGGCTCTCCATGTCAGAATAGACTACGGTGGAAAGAGTTGCTGAAGAGTACTAACAATCTTCTGTACACAGAATAGGTGAGGCCTATTGTCAAAAGCAGGTCATAATTGTACAACATTGGGAAAATTTTGCCTGAATATCTTCCTCAATAACCTTTACTCCGAGTAGAGACAGAGGGCAGTCTCCAGCTCTCTCTCCCCCCATACTTCTCAAAGTATCAGGGATCGGAGCACCCCCCTTTATCCCTATCCCTCAACAGTGTTGTTTCTCCTCGCTTCCTCACTGGCTGAAGTATTGAGGTTACAGACTTTCTGGTCCACCCAATAGACGTTCTCCCTTGTATGTGACCCTCTCTTGTATCATGTGTCACATGTGTAATTAATTAACTCTGACTTCATGCAGCCCGGGGTGGAGAAGTTAATTACACTACTGAATTTGCTAAGCATGCCCAAAGTTTGTAAGTTCAAATTGTTGATAGACCTTCATAACTAAAATCTTGTTTGGTGAGGATGTGCAGACACCAACTGGATAGGAATCTGCAAGCTTCTGCACAAGTCTGTGAGCAAGGGCATCTTGTTTGTAAGCCTTTGTATGAATAATGTTGTTAGCCTTGTTTGTAAGCCTCTTTTGTTTCACATGAAGAGTAAAAGCAAGATATAAGAGAGCTACTGTAAAAGAGTTACTGTAAAAACACGTGCTTTATAAGCACCAGTACACGCAATTATGACCTTAATTATTACAGTTTTATGAATTTTAAAATAAATGCTTTCTAAATCACTATGCAAAACTATTGCAGCTCTTACTTTTCATTCATTTACTTGTTTGTTTTTAAGATGGTAAGCCATACAAACATTATGCCATGTATATAATTTTGTATTGTAGCCTGATGCTTGAAATACATTTTGTTTCCTTGTTTTGAGCACAGGTCCTTCTCATTTCACTTGTTGGTCTCAGCTCTTAAATGGAGCACTTACCTTTGTTTATTGAAAAGATTGCACGATGGCCTGAATTCCTGCTACTCAAATAAGCTCTGAATTGCCTAACTTCTCTCCCCACATCCCCCTCTCCAATGAAACAAACATCCTCCAGACCATAGCAAACCTGTTTTGGTGAGTGTATTTCTTCAGGCTGCATAACCTGGCTTTTGGAAAGTGTTTTGCCCAGCTCCTGTACCTGAAAAGAGCTTGATTTTGTCCCTTAATACTGTGCAAGGGAACAGCATGTGAGATAGCCCTGACTCAAATCAAGCGATCTTGGTTTTCACCTAATTTCTCACCAGTAACGTGACCCCAGGCCCACTTGGACTCCCGCTGCTTCCAGCTGGGTGCTCTCCAGGCTGTGGGGATGCTGGCCAGACCAAAGCAACGTACTTTAAGCTAAAGAGCATACACTCTAAAACATGCTCCCCTAGTACCCACTGCATTCTGGCACACAGGAGGAACAGTAGCAAAAACGTAACTAATGCCAGTGCTGAAAGTCATTGTGTTTTCCGTCTGGAGGCATCTTAGCAGAGCTATTCAAATAGCAACGTTACAGGCTGCCCAGGGAAGTGGTGGAGTCATTATAACTGCAGGTGTTCAAGAACCGTGTGGATGCTTGTGGCACTGAGGGACGTGGTCAGTGGGCACGGTGGGAATGGGCTGAAGGCTGAATTCGGTGATTCCAGAAGTCATTTCCAACCTAAATGATTCTACGTTACTAATAACAAAAGACTTTAATGAATGGTGACGTGAATAAGCCAGTTTGACATTTCAGGTAACACTGCTGACCCAGTGCTGCCCTCCCAAGGCCACGGCAGCAGACATCACCATGACTTCAGGACAGGCTGATGTCCGTGAATGGCCCTATACTTGATTTTCATCAGTTGTTTGCTGTATCATCACCACTTTAAAAAGATCCTTTGTAGTATCAAGTCCACATAACTAAGTAAATCAGGAAATCTGTGGTCTGGGAAATCTAGTGGGTGGACATTCCTGCAGGATTAAGCACAGTTGTTGTTGCACATGCTATATTGATTTATGAATAAAATAAAGGAGTACAAATGCAGCTGAATAGGCCAGTAGGAAAATTGCTTGCATGTATGAATGCAAAATGTCAATGAGTCACATATGAAGTCAGTGTATGAGGAAAAAAATAGGAATGCTGTGAGAGAGAAATGTGTGCACAAAACGCTGGAAACGCTGAAAAAAATCTTGCAGTGTGCCTGCTGTCTCTCAGAGCACTCACAGGCAGCCAGACTGGGCTGGTGAACGCAGTGACTGAGCATTTTTGGTAAACCTCACTGTGGGAAGAATGCTCACTGTGTCCATCAGACACTGCATCTTCTTTCACTGCTATTACTGCAGTAAAATGAGCTGCTGCGGGGCCGTCTGTAGCTGGTGGCACACATGGAATTATGTGTGTGTTTTGCCAGTGGACAGGGCAAAGTGAGATAAATTCATTAAATAAGTGAATTTATCTTTACTTACGTTTAGAGCAATAAAATAATAACTGAAATAATATAGCAGGAATAAAACAAAGCAAAGTGATGCACGTAATCATTGCTGCACAAAACTAACCACAGCGATTAAGAAACATCACCAATTGCCTTTATTCTTCTCCATCATCCAGATCTGCAGTTTCTGGAGAGCCTCTGCTGCAGTGAGGATTTGGAGAACATTTCCTGGCAACTGAGAGTTCCTACACAGTGCGTCCACTCGGAGGTGAGGCCTCCAATGTCGCTGCAAGCAGGTCCAGCTCTTATGTTGCTGAATAAACAAACTTACATAACTTAAAGGGAGGTGAAATTTGGTTTCATTCTCCTTTTGAATTCCACCTCAGGCCTGGTCAGAGCTCAAAGAGGAATCAGGGAATGTTTGTGTACTTGTAGGCCTTGACACCAAGCTTCTGAACAAGGAAAGGTTAATACACTCTGAAAATGTTCTACCTAAGCTACATATCTTGCCAATGATCAGACACTAATATTATATAATGCTTGTTGTGGTTGTGAGGTTCATCTGGAGGTCAGCTTTGGTTCGGGGCCTTAGTACTCCAGTGTGCTAAGTGGAACTTTGAGGAAAGGTTTAACAGCTCAGAAGTCAACATGACAGCACCCAGACAACTTGATGCTGCTCATCTGATGCTTATTACATACCATTGGCCTTCACTGTCCCTGATGGGCCTCTGCATAGTTAACACACCTTTAATGGCTGGACTTCCCTTGTGGTGCCATGGAGGCACTTTTTCTCTCCAAGCTGTTAATCAGCTCTTCATTCCAAAACAAAAAATAATAAAAATACTACATTTAAAAATGCTAAATTTGGTCCTGGGTACCAGGATAATGGTTCACAAGTTTGTTCAGAGAAAAGGGAAGCTGCACTGCAAAACATAGCAGGTTGTGAGTGGCATAGCGCAATCCATGCAAACCCTGCACAGGAAGGCTGTTAGGCAGAACACGGCTTTTTAGAACTGATAACAGAGTCTGTTGCATGTCTGATAAAGCACAGTGCTTTGTGGATGCGGCAGCTGACAGGGGAAGTTCCTCATATTCTTACATAAATCAAAACCTACCAAGTTAGCAAAGGGAATTGGACAAAATCTACAGCAGTGACAGTGTCCCTGATTATACAAGGCCATCTTCAGAGTATAGATAAGGAATAGGGAACTCCATCTGCTTTCAAGCATGCCTAAATTCCTAAATCAGCTGATATGCACTATGGACAAGGAAAGAATGCCAATCAGATGCAAAAAGATGGCACAGCTGGAGGTCGTGGGGTTGTTTGCACCGCGATGGGAGCTGTTGGGGAAGATTCCAGCAGCGGTCAGTAGGTGGAACACAGAAGAAAAGGGTCACAAGAATACACAAGGGATGCAGAATCTGAAGATGGTGGTGCGACTTACCCAAAATGAATGACAGAAATTGTCAACTAAACTCCAGGAATGCCAGAAAACTCAGGTGAAGAGGTAAAGCGGTGTGAGCTAGGTCAATTTTTTCACAGACTGAGGAAAAAAGTGAAGTGCTGTGACATAAGGGATGTGGTAAGGCGAAGAAGAGTCAGAAAAAGAATCTATGGGCAACTCCACTCTTCAGGCTAAGGGGCTCTGGGCAAACCACTGATACTCTTGGAACATCCTTTGCATGGGCAAAACAGCCACTGTCTGCGAACTGCAGACATGGCCTTGCAGTTATCCAAGCTCACAGATGCTCTTCTAGTTCCTAGTGCAGATTTTGCCATGATTGAGATAATCTCTTTCATCTCTTTGCAAATGATATTTTGTTTTCCCTAAGAATCCAGTCCACACATTCCAAATTATGAGGAAGGGGCACCTTCACATATTTGCTGATTCTTCTGTCCAAGAATCGTACTTCTGTAGCATGGTAATTTCTCCACGTTTTATAAAGCAGATGCACAAAAAGGCGAAAGTAGGCTTTTTGAGTACACTGATGTAATTCAGCACAAACCTTGTGCAAGAACAGACCATAAACTCTACCTTATTGGATCAGAAGGACAAACTTTTCTTCTTTCTCCACCTTCCTCTTACAACCCCTTCATCAGTTTGCCCTTTGTGATGGCACTGCTGCACCACTTGGTGATGGCAGATGCCAGAAAGCTGCTCTTAACTACAGAAGGGAAGCTTAAACTTAAGCTTGTTTTGGAAAGTTTGTAGATCTCTGGAATCCTACCTGTCATCCAAAAGCTAGGGCGAAGCAGTGGAAAGCCAGCAAGCGGGCTGGTGCTAGAAGGAAGGCACCTCTGACAAAATCAGCACTTGAGACCTGCAAATGTTACCATGCAATCAGTGCCTCCGGTTTGAGAAAGCGCTCGATAAAGCCTTGCAGAGTACTACCAGTACTACCCCAGTGCTTTGATAACAACAACCCCAGCTTTGATAACAACCAAGACTGGCTGCTAAACAGCCCTTGTTTTTCCTGTCCTTGTTAGAGGAAGAACAAAGATGTTAAACCCTGGGTTACACTGTTTTGACAGTGGTAATGTGCATCAAGGAGGCAAAAACACACAGAATCACAGAACGTGTAAGACATAGCAGACATATACTCAGCCTGCTATCCTGCCTATTCCGTACCTGCATGGGTGAGATAGGGTACAGCAGCTTCTTTATCAGTGCTTTCCTGTTATCTTTCTTCTACCTGCAAAGATGATTGGACTCAACTCATAAGTAGTTACTGAGGCCATGTGAACCAGTTAGCTCAGAACAAGTGAACAGACTGCTTGCAGAAAAGTACGAAGATATTCTTGGGAAGCAAGACTTACAATCATTAACATTTTTTTTTTTAAGGAGTTAAGAGCTGTATGTATTCCTAGGATGCAAGGGAAGAGATGTGGGGGAAAAGCATTTCACCGCTGACCAAAATTAAGGATAACTACTGGGTTACAAGCAACATGGACTCATGGATTTATAGAATGGCCAGAACTTGGCTTGGTATTCAAGATCAAGCAGTACAAATCTTGAATTTGGTTGTAATTGGGACAGCTAAAGAGTGGTACACTCGACTATCAAGAATCACAGGCAGGAAATCTGCGAGTCTGATAGCGAAGAGATGGCCTGCCACCTGACAAGTGCTTTCTGTGCCTATCTCCCACACGCTAGGAGCTTCAAACACCCCAAATGCTGCCCAAGGGCTGCTTCTCTTCCTGTCATATGTCTGCCCATTTTTTCAAAAGCCCAAATTGTGCTGGAGGTATCTAAGAGACATGTGCATGTGGGGCTTAGGGAAATGGTTTAGTGATGGACTCGTAATGTTAGGTGGAGGACGGATTTGATGATCTTACACATCTTTTCCAAACTAAGTTATTTTATGACTGCATGCACTACAGCTTAGAAGGCAAACCTTCCCCCAGCACCACGACTGTGATGCTGCCAATATCTGAAGTTAGTCGTATGACAATGCACAGAAATAGGGGGAGCAGTGAAAGGAAACAAGGCACAAAGAAGAACAAGACAAACTTGTGTAAGTGAACATCATACATTTATTACTGAACAACTCTCTCAACTCCAAAATTGGGCACAGGGATTAAAAATAAAACTTCATTGCACTACGTAGTAAAGCATTACTAGTAACTCTCATAAAAAATGTACAAATTTTGTTAAAAATTTATCAAGCCTTCAAATGATTTGGTTACAGATATTTATAATACATTTAAAACTACATATTAAGTGATTCAAAAGAGTATGATTTAAAGAAAACAACTGACAAAAATGATTCCAACAGAAGTCACAAGCTTTCAGAATCATTAATAGATCTGAAATACAAGTAGCAAAATGAGGTAACAATGTACCAAAGGAAAAAAAAAACAAAACGAAAAAAACACAGCTTCTAAAAAGGCCCAAAGATAACTCAGTCAAAAATGTGTTTTCTGTAAGTAAAACAACAACAACAAAAAAAAGGTTGGTAAATCCCATCCCAGGTACTACATGATGTGTTAACAGCTGTGAAATCACATTCAAGAGCCCGTATAAAACAGTATACAACAAAAGGCTTACTTTTTTCTTTTTTGTAAAGAAAGTCACAAAATGAGACATTGGAATTATCTGTAGGCCTTGATATCCCCTTAAACTTCAAATTTAATTGGCAGTTTATGCCAAAGCCACAGCAGTGCCAGTATGATAAAGCAAATGTCTTATGGACTGTTTAGGAAAAGGGGACAGGTGAAGTCAGGAAGGGAAGGAACATAAAAAACATCTTGCTGGATGCTGGTGCTGCCTGGCACCACGGCAGGCTGAGAAGTTACACACAAATGTACAGAACACATGGCAGTGAGCAGCTCAGCACGAATCCCCATCAATAGCCACAACCGAGATCGGCTGTGGGTCATCTGAGCTGATCCAGAACATGTGCACGTGTGCTGTTTACACACACTACCCACAGGAAGCAAGTCCACACACATCTGCAAGAGACCCATGCAAACAAATGAACCATTTCAGAACAGACAAGCCATAAGAGTGCAACAAATCATTTCAGGATTTGACCCAGTTAGATCCTCCAACTCCTCAGTCTCCCAGTGCCTCACAGAGTTCCACTGGGGAAAGGGACTTCACACATCAGGATTTCTCAATTCCAGAAAAAGGGTGACTTTCCCTTGGCTTCAGAAGAATGTGAATGCTTAGAGAAGTGCCCTCTTCCCATGCTTCAAACTGAATATCAAACATAGCGTTAGTTATGGTTAAACTTGCACGCATCGAAAGTTTTCTTTTGCAGCTATATAAAAGAGCCTAAGTTTTGTAAGACACATGGTATGTTTTTTAGACAAGATGATTTCATTTGTTAAAAAAATAAATTTCGCTATATGTACTTTAACCTGCCAGGTGTTATTGTGAAAGATTATTCTAACTCCTCTGGAAGAGAGGAGGAATTTTAGTACTTTGATCATTTGTTTAGTGTTCTTACGTACGAGTAGGAATGGAAAGACTCAGCGTTTCTGAGAACTACCTGTGTAACTACACAAATGGAGGCAAGAGCATCTGACGTAGGGCAAAATTGTGCTTTTATATCATCTGCACCATCAGCTGTGATTGGTCTGTAGAACACTGAAAGAGGGCAAACAGCATGGAGAACATGTAACACTGGAATTATAATTGATACTAAAGCATAGCAGCATACAAAAGCATCAGAAATGACAGAGAATCAACTTAAAGCTGAGACTGGCAGCAAGCTGCAGCAATATTGCTAACTGTGCCACTTGTGCTGCTGCAACTGAAGTAATGACAATTCAGGAGAAGCAATCTGATGCGAGAAGTGCATCCTCTGAATAACTATGGCATAGGTGGACGTTAGTATTTTGGAGGAACGTGCTGAAGATGCTAACAGTCTGAAACGTTGGAAAGGGAGCTACTTTTTTAAAAAAAAAGCACAAAGAAAACACTATTCAGAAAGCAGTTGGATAGAAGCTACCTCCTGTTTAACAGCACTTTGTTCAGAAGGTGCTCCCGTTTCGTACTGTGGTGGAGTCTTCTGGAAACTCAATTGCAAAAACCAAGGGAGTTCCTTCTTCACATTACACTCATCATGAAAATAATGAGGGACAAGAAGCAGCATCGGGGCAACTGAATTCTGCAATGAGTGACCAAAAACCACCCTCTTTTGTGATACAACAAAAAACCAGAAGTTCTACTTCTCTGAGAAAATGCTAGAAATTTTATTTTATTCATGAAGTAGCAGGAATAAAATTGTAACCTCTTACAAGTTATTTTAACTGTATACAAACTCCTTTGTAAATGACAAAGAATGTGTATGATTAAAGCCAATGCTTGTAAGCTAGAGGATTATCTATTTAGCAAGCACAATGGCAAAAAATGAAGGGCTGTTGCACAAGACCCTCAGTATCCTTTCTGCTTCCTTTCATGAAAGAAGTGCATAACTGCAGCATCTTCAGAACTCAGCTCTAATGTCAAATCAACTGAATGCAATTATAGCCCAACTAGAAAAATTGAAAAGGAGAACAGGAACATGTTGATTCTGAAATTACCAATTGAAAATGTTAATATTGCTAAACGATTTGTGTGATATTGCAACTTTACATTGATAAAATAACTTGTAAATAAGCAAAGTAAAAATCTGAACTCTGTAACTTATGCTAAAACCCGACATTACTCAACTATGAACAATCAATGACCCCTTTAGTGGTACGCACTTAAAGCCTCCGAGTAAAGGGTAGCATAACAGCTTGTTTGAATAGCAGGTAGACAGGTAAGTACCTGTAAGTACATTGGGGAGGAAATACTAAATGTCTGTAATTGCTGCACCCATTGTATTTGTGTGCAACTGCAAACACAAGGAAAGGAACCAGTGTACAGTACTAGTACTGTTTAAATAACACACAAGATTATACATTGCAGCATAATTAATACTACACACATACGTTCTCAGCACATGCTGGTATACAGGTTCTCAAACACACATGCACACTCATTCCCAAGCACACTTCACCCATCCTCTCACAAGCAAACATTCACACCACTCATTCCCACTCACAGTATCTGAAGGCTCTATATAAGGTAGATTGCTATACTGTTTGGAGCTACCACTTTTTTTTTTTTTTCTTTTTTTCTTTTTTATAAAAGCACATGCTAAAAGATCACGTCCACAGTAATCTCGCAGCAACACTCAGAATGATCACACAAAAACCAGGGAATGTTAGTGCACACACAAAATTAAGCTAAAGAAAAAAATCTTTGGAGTTCCAATCACACTGTTAGTATAACAATCCCGTAGATGTGAAGACTAGTTATAAGCTTTATAATTGATTAAGTTCACACAGTGCAAAGTAAGGTCCACTGACCCTTTTGTGTAAAGGAAAAGGCTGGAAGCCACATGGGTAAGTTCAATAGATAGTTCATATATACACATGACCAGGAACACCCAAACCAGATTTGTGCTCTTAGATTGGTCACTCTAATCACGATGCACTTCTGAAGCATCAGCTCTGCAAATTGGGCAGGTACGATTTGCCTGCAAAACCAGAAACAAAAAAGGGTTTACTGTAATGACAAACACATGTGTATGACATGGAACATCTGTGATAACAATGCTGCTACTTTCAAAGCTCAAGACTACTCAAAAGCAAGAAATGACAAGGTGTGTTCATCCACTTCGTTACTTCAGAGTTTTAAGTCTGTCAATTCATAACTGCATTTACAAAAAAAAAAAAAAAAAAAAAGAGGCTTTTTAATATTAAATAGATAAAAGAAATGCAGTGAACTGGGCTTTGTTCTAAGTGCAGTGGTTATACTAATGTAGATATGCTGTTACTGTGAGCTGCAAATAGGAAGGGGTACTCCGTTCAGTGGAACCCATCAAAATCAAGCAAGTCACTTTGGACTGGCAATAAATGCCCTAAACTATTAAACAAAGGTGCCATATTGTCACAAGCTGTGCTGATCAGTAATCATGTCTCTTCATGCTCTCTTTATCCAGTTATTCTTAAAGAAACTCATTGAACAGAGTTGGTAAAAGCTAAAGGCAGAGCAGTGAAAAACAGAAGGGATTTCAGTAAAAAAGAAAAGGGAGATGATCTGGTTAAATAGGTTTTAAAATTCAAAGCCCAGGTAATAACACACAGAAAAGGAGGCCTAACTTTAGCCCTTCGTTAAAGCGCTCACTGAAAATACATATCCATCAGCTTTCTACAGCTTCCTTAAAAAGGACAGATAAAAGAAAGGTAACATTCCTTGAGCTACCGGGAGTATTTTTGGGTTCTCTCCCTCTTTGTAAATAAAGACATAATTTCAAATGAAAAAAGTAATGATAAACAGCAGAAACAACATGTGTCACATTTATGACACAACATTTACTTTGCAAGGGGAGAGGGAGAGTAACTCCTTCCTGTCCCAGACTCTGTAGTTCACAATGCCCACAACTACAAAATAATCCAACCATCCTCAGCTCCAAGTTTTCCAAACTTTTCAATGAACACAAAACTCAAGGCAATAGAAAACATGGCTTCCCCCCATCCCGACACAGAAATCATTGCCACACATTTCAAGTATGAATCGTAAATGTCAATGAAAGTAGCATGCCATTACTAAGAAGCATTTCTTAATAAAATAATTAAAATGAATATTATTTTTCCTATTACTTCTGTTATTAATGATATACAGTTTATGTTGCATTTAATAATTTCATAGTTTCTATAAAGCAAGGCTAGAGAATCATAGATTATTTCTTGCTCTCTCTCCTGCAGTTCTGCAGTTACTTGAGAACAATACCATCACTTGGTTGCTACTTTGCATTATTCTACATATAGTTCAGCTTATGTAATTTTTAAAATAATTGGCAAGTTCTTCAAAATTCAATGAATTAATGACTCAAGGGATAACTGTAAGTTAAACAATTAAGTACATACCAACTTAGCACAAAACATCGCTCTTTAACATGACTCCTGATATTTTTAGAGTTTGGATTTTTTGGGAGGTGGCTTTTTTAGGTTTGAAGTACTAAAAGCTAAAAGTATTATTTTTCTTGCGTATTTATCAGTATGATATTGATTGGATGTTGTGAATTACATGGACATGAACACATCTATACTCTCAACGTATAAAATACATGCATAAGGAAATGGACAAAAACAAAAAGTTATAAGCCACGATATCCTGTAGTTGCCCTCACTTCCAGTTGGTGGCTGCTTTAACTGTAGGTACAGGCTTTAGCTAAAATAGGCTGAAGTTATACAGGTCATTTGCTCTGGTTTGCAGAGCAAAATAATCTTTATTTTACACAGCATCTTCCTATAGTGCAACTAAATCTATGTGGTATAAACAGACTAATTTAGCAACAATGCTTTACGATTCTTTATCCTTGTCTTAAAATTGGATGCAAAATGAGCTAGACATGTTAGGCCAATACAAGCCATTTTTGGTGGAGGCAGCTGCACCCCCCTTAAGTTTACATTGCACACCTTTCATCTCATTCTGCTTAAGCTGATGCTTAAGGTTACAACCTTTTTCTCTGATAAGTTAGACAATACCACACTCAGACCTACTCGAAAATAAGTGGTTCCTAACTTGGGAGAGGCATCTGGATTAGGTCATAATAGTTTTACCATTAATACAGAACATTTAAGATTGTAAAATAAAGGCTAAAATAGGTTCTGGGATTTTTTTAGTTTGCTGATCTGAATTCAATTGCTAGTTCACTACCAACTCAAAGTACTGAATGCAACTTCAGAACTGCCACACTGAGTCCCAAAAAAGATTCATTTAACCGCCTGACTCTTGCGACCAAAAACACATAACAAAGAGGACAAGGAACATGACAAGCATGCATTAATACTTCCCTGCTGTATTTTCCCAACTCTTAGTAATCTGCAGATCAGGGGCTCCCTGCATGAGATGCACGTTTTCTGCATTAACAGCCTGGGAAGAGCTTTCTCTTTAAAATCTATGTAACTAACTTAATGTAGATGAGCTTACAAAGTCCTCCGTATCAAAGGCTGTGTGAAGTCCAATGAAAAAATTTATTTTTTCCACAAAATAAACTGAGTACTATCTGTGGTTACTTTGTCAACTGCATAAACCATTTAAGAAGTTTTATGCATCAAAAAGGTTTTACGAATCTAGTGCAAACACTTCCTGAGCACAGAGATAGGGGACAGTGAAGAAAGCCACTTTCAACAGCCTACATCTTCTTTAGTTTTTCTTTATTATGATTATTCTATTTACTAAATCTGAAAATAAAGCAACTAGATGTTTATACTCCTCTTGCTGGTTGTCATGTATGTATGTGGATTCAAATACTAAAGGACAATAGTTCTACCAAAAGATAGCTGAAAGAATGCTGTCAGTATTAATTTGATTTTTCATTCTTTGCACAAATATTTCAGCGTATGCCAAAGATAGGCATTTTCTTGCTGCTATGAACTAAACAGCCAAGGGCTTTTTAATTTCTTTTTCCAGCAGATTGCATTTATATGTCTCTCCACAGACTGTTTCCAGTATTTTTTTTTTTAACACAATCATCGCAGTTTCAATTTTGTGCACACAGATTAAATTAAAGCTGAAGAGAATAAAACACAGAAAAAAAGGTGCAACAAGACAGGAATCCACACCTTGTTGGCAATATGTCTGGCCAATGCAATTTGTAGAGACGTTCTGCGTGCTGTCATCCACTTATTTACATCTCCTGTTCTTCATGCCTAGTTCCTATATTCTGTCACCTTACTGAGCTATCCAGCTTCTAGATCCTTTCATTTCTCCTCAAGTTGTTTTGAAAGATCACATTTTAATAATGTAAAACCATAATTACAGGTTAAATCTTACTGGCATATATTACATTTACATAAATATGTATGTATTAACTCAAACACACACACAACATATTTGATGTGCCTCAAAACCTAACACTGGCAGCAAAATAGGAAGGAAGTATGATCTGCTCTTTGCTACACAATATTGAAAACAAATTCACTGTCAACAGAGAAGCTCTAATTTGTACTTCTTATGTTACCATATCATTTCTTTTTTGATTTGTGTATTTGTGAATTTAAAGCTGAATTCACAGTTGAATTCCATTGTTTCGTGGAAATGGAAAACAGACAGATCTGACCATGAAAACTATTCTCTTTATGTTCCTTTTTCCTTATGCCAAGGATTGTAAAGAAACATACTGAATCAATCATTAAAAAAATAACATAGCTATATAGTGCTCTCAAGTCTGCTGGCATTTCTACTCTAAAATTGGACAAAAGTGAAATAAGAGGAAATGAAGAACAGCAAAATAACCAAATCCCAAAACAATAACCATCCCACCTCAAAATTCATACATAGTGAATTCCCTCTAAAACTTTATTTTTTTACCTTAAGCCATTTATCAACACACTTGGCATGGAACTCGTGGTTACAGGGTAAGACTCTAAGTAGCTGCCTTGACTCAAAATCACACATGCACACCACGCACCTAAAAAAGACAGCAAAGTTCAAATGTATCTGCTATTTAAGAACACCAGACATATATGTCACACACAACCTTGCTGATACAACTGCAGCATCGCAGCAGTTACAACAGTTACCTGTGTTTGTGTTTGAGGATGAGCAGTGTAGTGATGTAAACTGAGAATACTAAATGAGTTCTGTCTTTAATTAATAAAACTGTTTACTGATAATCACTGCTTTTAGTTCCTATAGTGCAGCGGAGGCTGCAGTCCAAAGAAATGAAAATAAAGCCAAATAAACGATGTAATTTTGAAAGAGAGATGTGTACTTACAGTGTCTGTTCTGACTGGTGGTTGTTTGGATTGAACCTATAGGATGGGAGTTGTTCAATGTCTGCCTTCGTCAGTCCTCGTGGTTTGGCTTCTCCCAGGCGTTCTGCCAAATTCAGCAGGGCCTGCAAAACATGGACATTAGACATTTAAAAATTCGCTGCTTAAACAAATTCTGGTTCCATGAGATGTGGAGATGCTGTTACACAGCACTACATAACCCGGCACACAAACCATCCTTTATAAATGTTTAGAAGCTTAGCTCTCCCCTATAAAATAAGATTCAATAGGAAGATTTGTGCATCCTCCTCTTCCAAACATCTTTCTGAATTACGCAGGATATTTCTTTGGGATTTCAAAATCCAGAATGAAACTTCAAACTATTCCTATGCTTGCACACACAGGTTGGTATGTATGTCGTTTCTGTAAGATCCACTTCATCCCACTACAAAATTAATAGTGGGGGTAAGCAGAAAAAAAAAAAGTCAACACATTTACTTCCTACTGATACACTATGAGTCTGGTTCTGTGAGAGAAACACAAGAGTTCAGGAGACAAATTCTGATTCCCACTCCACACCTTGGACTAGATCAATTGAGAGGTGGAGATTTTATCATCAATCTCAAAAATGAATTCATACCATTGAGGTTTAAGTACTTTTTTTCGAACTTCTATGCTCCTTTTTCTATGAGTCAAACATAGCAATGAGGAGTCATGCAATTAATTGCTCTCTGTCACATATAACTTACACTCCGTCTATTTTTTTTAGTGAAAAAATACCACAACAAGCTTGATGGATAATGAAAGCATACAAAAATTAAGAGTTGCTGAAATCTGCAAACCATTTACGATCACAGTCATTTCTAATATTTTCAATCTGAGGGCCCAAAGTCTCCAAAACAAGATGATGATGCTTCAGAACTAGCACAGAAGTTACTACAGTAATGCTCACCGTTAAACTAGCAAATGTGCTGTTACTACAGATCTCAGAGGAGCACAGGTGAAGAGATGCCAAATAAGAGAATTTGAAAGAAAAAGTATTTGAAGAGAAGCCCAAGGGAATCCTACAGTCCTAGAACCAGCAAAGATACAACAGCTTGGACTGTCCCATGAGTACCTAGGATATTAAGGATGGTTCTGCATCTGTAGATGTGAAATAATGTATCCTCCTGAGGGTAAAGAAGAAAAGGCACTAAAATGACTTTATAACTGTTACACTTAAATCAATTCATCCTGTGATATTAACACTATTCTGTAGTTACTCAAGTAACTTCTCTTTTGAATGTGCTTTATTTGTTTGACATTTAAAATCAATTACAATTCAAAAGAAGAAGAGTAATATGAAGAACACAAAGACTGAACTAGTTAATGATTACTAGTCTGGGGAAGAGAAATGAGACAAAAAGCTAAGCACTTCAAATATCCAGTACTACAAACAAACAAGAGGATGATCTCTGGATTTTGTCTTTGCAGTTATTACACTTTCTTGAAAGCCAGAAACAAGACTGAAAACATAATTTATAATTCAATTCTTTAAAAATAGTTGTTGTTTTCATACCAACCTCATAGTTTTCTACCTCTCCATCTTCCACATCCAGCTCAATGCTGAAAGCTCGTCCAACTGCAGGTGGAACTGGGAACATTGATCTACCATGAGAGCAAACAAAGTATAAGGCTCAGCATCTCGCTGAAGGAAATATCAGAAACCTGTGGCACAGCCAAAGTTATCTTACTGATCCCTTTCAGAATTACGTATTCTCAGAACTAATGGAAATCTTATGTTTGAAATCAAGAACTGATGCTTGAAGTGAAAGAATCAAGAGAGAAGCTGGTTCTGCCACTTCCTGATCCTGGCAGTGCTGCCTTTTAAACTGCATGCATATCTTAAGTGATACTTAGAATAAGACTTAGAACTGTTACGAAAATGAACCTCTTGATTATCACACATTATGGAAAGCTAGTACTGATGATGGATTGGATTTGACTCTGGACTTAAATATTTTATTTCTTTGAGTGGATAAAATACAATGATTCTGTTAAGAACAAAACCAAACTATTTTGATTAAAGACTCTTAGGACTTCACACTACAGCTTAATCATTAAATCCATAAAAGCATCCACGAAGTAAGTTTTGAATTTACTTATCTCAAACATCTTTATGCACACAGTTCAGAAAAATGACACACCGCAGGCACAAAACTACATTGGACAAAACTGCACTTGTATTTTCCCTTGTGCAAGTGCATATGTTATCCACAGCAGGTTGGAAATTTTACATAGATATGGAAGCTTTTCTCCGATCTGGTGCAGCAGAACTGTCTACTCTCTATTAGAGTCCAACCATAAAAACTACAGGTCTCTGTTGAGAGGACTGGTTAACTCACATTACTTTGTAATAACCTACACGGAAGCAAATATACTTTGAACTTACAGCACATAAGGTAGTAGACTAGGATGGTAAGGGTGTGGAGGTATTGGCTGCTGTGATCTGTATCTGCTGCGCCCTGTGAGTCTTCGAGGCATAAACGGTGGGTAAGGCTGCAAGAGAGAAGAAAATAAGCTTCCTCTGAAACCTTTGGGACTGGTACTTGCGCCCAGCTCTGGGCTTCCAGGTACAAAACAGAGAAAGGAAGGTACTGAGAGAGTACAGCACAGGGCCACCAAGATGATGGACTGCAGTACCTCTTCTATGAGGTTGAGAGGTTGAGAGAGCTGTTCAGACTGGAGAAGAGAGGACTTGGAGGGAATTTCATCAATAGGTACAAATACCTGAAGGGAGGGTGCAAAGAGGATGGAGCCAGGCTCTTTTTCAGTGGTGCCCAGTGCCAGTACAAGAGGCAACGGGCACAATCTGGAACACGGGAGCGCATCTAGAAGCACTTCTTCACTGTGCAGGTGACAGAGCACTGGAACAGGTTGCCCAGAGAGGTTTGTAGAGTCTCCTCCCTGGAGATCTTCAAAAGCCACCTGGACATGGTGCTGGACAAATAGTTCTAGGTGTCCTTGCTTGAGGACAGAGGATTTGACCAGAGGACCTCCAGGGGCCCTTTTCCAACCTCAACCACTTTGTTATCCTGTGATTCAGTATTTGGTTTTCCTAACCAAACTGAAATCTGAATATCAAAGACCACTTTCAATGCTGCGTCATTTAAAGAAATCCAGCTATTTTGGACACTGATTATGTTCAAATAGCCTCAACCTCTCCTAACAATTTGAAGCTAAAATTCCTGTCAGTAATGGAATCACACCATTCCACGTGAAAAAGTAGTAACACACAGCAGAAGTCCTTGCAAGACATTTTCTGCATAGTTCACATGTGCATGAGGCTTTGGGAAGAAGATAAGACCTGAACTACTGTCTCTTTTGTAAAGTCTTCTGTAACAATTCAGCTTTTAGGCTCAGTGCTATTATGCAGGCTTGTGCACAGGACAAAGAAAAATCTTTAAAAATACAAACAAAAAACAATAGTAACAACCCCCCTTAAAGGTCTGTAGCTGTTCTCTTCATAAATTCTTTCACTGACATAAGATTACTACAGAGTAGGGAGCATCACCACTAAGCACTACAGCAGAATCTCTGATCCGGAATTAAAGAAGCAGCAGCATACAATTACACTGAAAATAAAGTTATGCTATCTGTAGAGCAAGTCTGTACAATTTCTGCATATGGACAATGCTTACAGAGGCTCTCAAGCCTACAGCTTCAATTGACAAGGATAAAACAGGGCTTTAATTGTTTTTCATTTGCATGCCAAGCCCTTCACTTGAACATTTAAGTTTTCAGTATTATTTTTTGTAATCCCTTGTTTTACCTAAAAGAACAGGGACACAAATGGTAGAAATTTTCCATATAATAATAACTTTTTTTCCCCCCAGAAATAGTTAAGATACAAGAAGTGTCTATTAATTTTTAAAGTTGAAATTGATGAACCATTATTGCATTAATATTTGAAAGCTTTGAGGCATTTACTTCTTTGGAACAAAGAACACTCAAAATTTTTATTAACCAGTATTTATTCTTCCATGTTTGAACACAGAAAAGCTTAACACCACCAATATCTAATCTAAAGACCCTTAAGTTTACAAGATAAATATACCTAATAGATAGCCACAGTTTTACATTAGATTTACATATTAACATGAACACAATGTGGAAAAATTGGGTCTTTTTCTTGAAAGAAAAGACCTCACACTAGACAGAGTAAACACTAGCTTTACAGCTTTGAGAATTCTGTGATCCAGAGTATCATTAAAAAGTGCTGTGCTCAGATTTCAGTTAACTGACCTAAAGAAAATCAGAGATGTAGCCATTCCATTATAATTTTAATATAACTAGAACACTAGTGATAGTTTAAAGAATACCAAGCTTTTCTTAAAATCATTTTGAATCACTGGAAAAATTTTAAAAATAGTTAGAATTCCTTTACAAAAGATCAATATTACACCCTTATTCCACCCCTCAGCAGTACACAACCCAGAATTAAGGCACCACAGAGGAAAAATAACATGTAACCTGCATAAATGTGCTACTTATTTGCTATCTGTTTTTAAGGACTGAACTTAGAAATTCACAAACATCTTTGAAGTTGTTGTAATAAAATCCAGGCAACATACAGAAGTTTTGTAAGTGTATTTGAAAATGTATCATAGTGACTGAAAATTTCCTGGGAAGACCATTCACATTAACTATGGTGCATGATTTCAAGGTGACTAATAAAGAAAAGCTAGCTCTATGTTCTGTTGTTGCAGGTTCTAAAGTTTCATTTTCATTTAAAGGCTGAAGCACCACTGTGCTTCTAAAACTTTCCGACAACTTGATGCACAGATCAAATATTAAAAAAAAATACCGAGTAACATTATTTCTTCAAGCATTACCCACAGGGGAAAGGCTTTTTCAACAACAAGAAAAAAAGTCAAACCCAACAGACCAAAGTGCACCGCAAAGACCCTAGAGGTAGTAGAGATACTGGAAACACAAATTACAGCACAGATTTAATCCTGCACCATGTTTAATTGTTTCATGATCTTGCAGTTGAACTGCCTACAGTCATACAGAAAGTTGTCTTAAAAACACTCTGACTACTTCTGTAATATAATATAGCCTGTAGTGTGGAATTGATCTATACAACTGCTTGTCTGTGTATCGCAAACATTCCAGGAAGAAAAAAAAAAAACAACAAATCAGTGTTCTTAAAAATTCTTGGTTTTCTGACTTGTAGAAACTCAAAGTACGGATGACAAACTAGCAACAGCATACATGGCAACAGCTTTTCTAAACACTAACTAGTTTCTATAGTAGCAATCTTGTCAACATGCAAATGTTTTCAAAGTAACTACTATCACTGTCTGTCTAGATAATGTTATCAGAAATCATTTACTGATATCAACAATACTGGCTATAGTTAGCTTGAGTAAAATGAACTTAAAATATTGCAGTATGTAGTCATTAATGGACCACAACTGCAAGAAGTGCAAGTTTCTGACAAAATATACTACATATTTGAACGCAAGACAGCTAACAGCATGACTGAGAGTATAGCATGTAAAACAATACTTACAACGCCAAATGACACTTCCTGGTGTAAAGGATCATGAGTTAAGAACTGGAGAGGGGCAGAGGGAGGCAACGTTGGTGGATGAGCTGAGGGAGGATACGTAAAACCTCCTACAGGAAGATGTTCTCCAAGTAATTCTACTTCATTTTCTATCCTTTGAAATGGCTAAAAAAAAAAAAAAAAACCCAAACATACATATATTTGCTGCAATAATGAGATATAATATTTTCCCACTAAAGAACTGCAATCTCATGTATACTCTGAGCTGCTGTAGTCAATTCTACAGGATAAAAAAAAACTATAAGTAAAATAACACTCACATTCACAGAATAGCAGTATGACCAACTCCTGCATCATTAACATTACCAAAAAGTGAAGACAACATACTTTTGGTATTAATTCAATTTTCCCAGCTAGTCATGCTAAATGACCAGGAATTTACGTCATCTAGCAAATATTGGAATAGCTATAATTTCCTGTCTATTGCATTTTGTAGGACAAATATTTGCTCTCCTTCTTGCCAGGCTGCTTTCATTTAACAACTACGAAAGAGAGGAAAAAACAAACCAAAGACAAGAACTGAAATTGGTTTAGACAGTCTGAAAAGAGGAGAGTGAACACAGTGATTCCATTAAACTGTGAATGATACAGTAATCAAGCAAGATCTCTCCTAGGAGAATAGTGCAAGCAATCCTATCAAGAACAGACAACCATGAGATTCCAGCTCAATACCGTAATCTAGTTAACTGTAGTACATCCACAGCTGTGCAGAGAAGGACTTGAGTGTCCTGGTGGACAACAAGCTGGCCATGAGCAGGCAGGGAAGACCTTATCACTCTCACCAATTTCCTGAAAGGATGCTGTAGCAAGGTAGGGGTTGGCCTACTGTCTTAGGAGACTTACAATAGGATGAAAGGTAACAGCGTTAAGTTGCATCAGGGTAAGTTCAGGTTGGATATTAGGAAAAATTTCTTCACAGTAAAAGTGGTGAGATATTCAAACAGGCTGCTCAGGGAGGTGGCGGAGTCACCACCTTTGGAGGTGCTCAAGAACTGTATACGGATGTGACACTGGCATTACTGCAGGCATGGTGGTGATAGGTTGGTGGTTGGACTAGATCATCTTGACGATCTTTTCTAGCCTTTACGATTCCACGATTTGAGGGCGATGTGCCACCCATAGAGGCAGCGGAGTCTCCCTCTCTGGAAATGAAGTTCAATACTCACTTGGATGCTTTCCTGCGCAACCTACTCTAGGGAATCTGCTTTAACATTGGGTTGGACTAAACGATCTCCAGAGGTCCAACCCCTAAAATTCTCTGATATGTCAGGTTCAACAGTTCCCAAGAAACATTCAAGAGTAGTCACTGTTTCATTAACACATCTTTCTGTTTCTAATGCTAAATTCCTCATTTAAGGAAACTCAGCAAAGAAATCCGTATTCTGGCAGCAAAGCAAAATTCTGTTTCCCTTTCATGCAGTACAAACTTTAAAGCCAACGTATTCTCAAAGCACTGAAATACTGGCTATTTGCCAGAGCTGAAAGTCAAATCCAGTCAATAACCTATGTCAGCAACTGAACCTAAAAATCAAAGTTCACACATTTTCTGAAAGAACATCTTACAAAGATTACCACTGAAAACTATTTTTCCAGATGTTCTCCCATTACTTTAATAGAGCTATTGCATCAGTTAGCCATACCTTAGATATGGCAGTGCAGGTCTTTAGAAATCTTCTAGTAACAACAAAACTGTTTTCCATTTCTGCGTTAATAACATACTGGCATCTTCTGGTAACAGGGGCAAACAAATGAATGGGAGATAACCCATATGGGCTAGAGAGAACCCTACAGTAAAAACTGTATGCCAGAAAATAAAAATCTAATTTTGCTCCTCAGATTCAGTCAGTCACATTTCCCTGTGTTTGCATAGTCCCCATTGCTAAGAAAATCTGCTTGAGCAAAAACCTTTTGCAAGTAATAAATAGAAGAAAGGGAGAGACTACAAACTCTTGAGTATGTTTGGAAGCTTTTAGGTCATCATGTTTTAGTGAAAACACTGTCCATTTAAAAATTAACTGAGAAGTAATACAGAGGAAGCATATAACGAGATTAACTTCCCTATGGCTTTCTGAAAAAGAAAAATCTGAAGACAGTGGTAAGGATATACATCTTTCGACAAAAAGTGAAGTCTTAGGGAGAAACTGCATTGATAGCAACTGATGAAATTCGAAAAGAAGTAGTGAATTTTAAAATTATTTCTTCATCTTCACTCTAAGTAGTTGAAGGACTTGCTAAGGAAGCAAATGTGCAAAATCCTGTTACTTTCAACAAAATCAGTTTCCTGAATTAGTTATCAGTACCATTTGCACCTCCAGCCACACCAATTCTAAGGAGAGAGAGAGAAAGAAGCACTACTTACCGAACGTGACTGCTGTGCTTGGAAAGGAACAAACTGTCCTGGGGGAGGCAAGTGAGGAGGATGGTGCGGAGACAGATGAGGAGGGTGCAAAAGGAATGGGTCGCTAGAAATAAGGGGTGGAAATGCTGCATACGGTACTGGTAGGTGCTGAACTGAGCACGCTTGAAGCATCTGAAATAAAATGAAAACACTTTTTTTAGTCTCTAGCACAAAGTTCCTACAGAGCAGTGCACCATTTATCATGGAAAGATATAATTAAGAGAAAGCATTTCTCTTGATCCCTTGGAAAAACTTCCTAAATACACAAAAATATTAACTGAAATGCAAAGTGACTAGCATACCACAGACTCAAACCATGGTGTGATATCTCCTAGCTATAAATTCAATGGGAGCTGGGATTTTCAATGGGATTTTCACTATTAGATGGACTCCTGAGTAAAGAGTAGGTATATGTACCGTACTAGCTTCCTTGCATGTTTTACCTTCAAAATGACATTCCTATACAAGTGTTCCAAGCATTTAAAGATATAAATGTAGCTGAGGGACTGCTAGCCATCAGACTGCCTCAAAACATCTTTCTTAACTCAGTTCTCCACTTCAATGGTAGTCTTATGCTTTGAAGGAGGCTGAGATATACTTACTGCAGAAACAGCTTTTTCTCTCTAATCTTTGGAACTACTTATACAACACAGAAGTGATGAATGCACTGCAGGTAAACAGGAATGTGCTTCCTGGAAGAGCTCGGTTTTACTTCCAATTCTAGATATGGAGGAGCATGAAATCCTTTATTCTTTTTCCTGTTCTTTGATCTGTCATCCGAATGCCAGACATCTATGCTACATTTTTGCTCATTAAAAGAGCAATTTATAACACACTTGTTAGCTGAAAACAACAGTATATCTTTGTTTTAAATGAAAAAAGATGCTTATTAAGTGTTTTATATTTAAAATTCCATCACCCTACCTGCAAACCTATCAAATTCTACAAAGTAATGCAGAACAATCAGTTCTGATCTCTCATTATTTTTGTCTTGTTACACAACACATACTGTGCATGCTGACTACAACAGCAAAGTGGGAATAAGGTCTAGTTTAAGATTAGCTTACATTAGCGAAGGTGGAATCATTGCTTCATTTACTGTAATCACCACCACACATAAATCTTTATACACTGAATCAGTAACAGATTAATTTGACGTTTTTAGATGCAGACCACCCTTCACCCGCAGTTCCTAGCTTTTTTTATAAAAAGTATTTTTGCTATTAAAATAAAATTGTTACTGTATTTTACTAAAGTCAAAACTGTTCTCTGAAGCTAAATTCACAGGTGCAACACCACACCCCTATAGAATAGGAAATCGGTCTGGGGAACAGCTTAAAATATGTTTGACTCCAAGATTTCATACAGTGAAGACACTGTAGCTACTTGCAGTTAATATGCTAGGAAGAATCTGTGCTAAGTCAGAGCCAATGAGGTTGCATGATCTTTTAAGAGGAAATAAATGAAACCTATTGTTTATTCATTCAAGTTTCTGGAAAACTTCCGTTGTTTGAACATATGATTCTACAGGTTTTAGAATCAATGACTGTATTTCATAAATGACATTAGATTATTTTATAGTTACATACACGATAAATGAGACAAATTTTGTTAAAGTGACAAAATGATACTGGGAAGTTCGCAAGTGAAGTTGGGTAAGGAAATGTCCTAGAGGGCAGGGCTGCCTTTCAGATGTACTCCTATAGGACAGAGAAATTGTATGACAAGAGCAGTATCATGGCCAAATACGAAATCTGGAACTGGAACAGAAGAATCTGATGGAGTAAGATTTTGTGACTGGCTTTGGAGTGGACTTACAGGGAAAAAAATCTGATCCTAGTGGGCAAATCAAACAGGAGTACAACAAGGACAGTAGCATATTCTTGCAGTCAAGACAACTTATTGCATAGTGGGCTGCATTACTAAAAGTACAGGTAATGGGCCAAGGTAGGGGATTCTGTCCCTGTTTGATGCCTACTCCGTCTTAAGACCTGTGCCCGATTTTGGCTTTCCCAACACCAAAAGACTTAATGAAATGGGTCACTCTGTACAAAAGAAGCTGCAGAACTGGATTTTTTTCTGTCTTAAGAAAAAAAATGACTACCACTGCCTTCCACAATTTCATGAATGAGAAGGAAGAACCTGACTCTAGTCATGTTGCTTTCTTGCTTTGCTGATTTTGATATCCAGCTGTTGTTTCAATTGTTGAGTACTCACTCTGAGATAGTTTTCCTCTACACTAAACACACTACAAGTAGAAGGAAAAAGCCCTCTTTATCTCAGGAATAGAAACTCATGTAACAGATTTTCAACAGTTTGAAACGTAAAGGGAAGTAATGTACACATATTTCAGACTGGCAAACAGTATGCCTGAGGTCTTGCTGCAGGAGGATAAATGGCTTCTGGACAACCTAAACACACACTACCCTTAATCTTCAACAGGCAGCTTAAATAAAGAAACAGATGATCACAACAAAGGTTTTTTTTTCGGTGCCACAGTCTTATTTATGTCCTCTGGTCACAGAACATGCAATAGAAGAAAATATAGGTGACATACTGCTGGCAAATGCACAGCTGGAAGAGTCCAATGTATACAGCAACATTATACATGTATGTACCAAGTACATGAAGCTGGTATGTCCGATATTACAGATTTATATTGGAAAATAGTAAAACAAAACAAAAAAAACCCTGCAATTCTTTCAGCAGGTTCCACAACTTTCCTTCATACAGTTGAAAGTTCTTGGGGGGATCTCCTCTACTTCTTCAGCGCTAGTACCTGTTTGGACTCAGTGGGGAACTTTCTACAGAATAGCATAGCATGGAAATGCTACGAACTAGAATCTCTGGAATCATGCCTCTCTGAGTTGATACATGAACTTTTCTAAGACAACAACCAACATTCTTTCAATTTTAAAGGTGAGAAAAGTGAGTCCATCAAGGCACTTCATTTCACTCCCAGAAAGGCTAAGAGAAACATCATTATTAAAGAATAATTTTGTCAAGAGTATTTTCAGCTCAGCCTTTCAGCTTTTACTGATCTTTTTCTTCTTTTCAGAAGAAAAGCTGTTTCAGACTATCCAAACTTCTTTGTGTATAACCAATCCATAAACAAGCTATCTGTAATATTTTCTTGGTAAACTGAGTAGTAAAAACCATAGAATCATTCTTCTAAATACATGAAAGTAAGCAAAAAGCTCATGTGTTGACATTAAATCATAAACCAAACTGCAGTTTGAATTAAAAGCCATCAGGACTTCATACTATAAACAGCCACACACTATACAAATATTAGATAAGCAACATACGTTTGCCCACCAGTTCTAAGGTCCATATTAACATGCCACTGCAATTCACCTCAGGGGAAGAAAAAAAGAAGGGCATTTTTCATTTCAATTAAAGCACATAAACAGTAAAGCTTCATGGTACCTGCTATTCCTCTGTCTAAAATTGAAGCTGGATTAACTATAGAGCTCACTTACTGGAGGAGGCACACTGCAAACTGGAAGGTGCTGCCCACTGAAAACCACTGAACACCCCGGGACCTGCTGTGTGCTGCAGGCTGGGATGTGCTGGCCTGTGCAAAGTGGTATCCCATGTGGAGCCATTGTTGTCACTGTGTAGGAGACAGGAACTGTTCCCTGATGGATCTGTAGCAAAAGGAAAATCAGTAGTAAGAACTTATTGTAAACTCTTAACAGCATTGTACAGCATGCTGAGTAAATTAAAAAGCTTTTACCCACATACTGGAAAAAACACAGTCATAATGAGTGCTTAAAAAGAGGCACATGCCTGTAATTCCTGTTCTTTCAAATATTCTTCTCAATATACTACTTATTGATGAGTATTTTCTGGGCAGGGCAAAGAGGGATCTCTTTTTAAAAGGATAAATTTTGAAGTCTTTTTTTTTTTTTTTTTTTTTTGAATACTGAATAAGGAATCTCTGATTCTTTGACAAAATTGAAAAGCCTTATTGTCAGGAAGCACAGATTTACAAACAGTAATTATTTCAGGGAAGCTCATTCTTCATTCTTGTTCTGCTAAAGTTGAAACCATTCAAACAGCTCATTAAGAGGTGAGAATAACTAAATTAAAGACTGCTGATTTACTGAACTGGCATTGTGTAGTCAGAAACACAGGTCAGAATAGGAACATGGATCACTGAATGGAACCTAAAGGCTAAACCTGTGCATCATGGTGCATCATCAGGAGAGAGGCTGACATGGTTCTAGCTCTGGTAGAAGAGTTAGGCAAACAGTGTAATGCTGGCTGTGACTTAGAAATGCTCAAAATAAGAATTAAAAATAACCTCTTAAAATGGTTCTGTCTCTGAAGTATTAAATATCACCAATGGAGGACCTCAATGAGTCTGATCACAGATGTTGCTTGGAAGATACAGGCAGCCAAATGGAAGAACTGCTTATCCAGGCTTGTCATGATGTAATCTTGCAACACAAAGCAAGAGCATGTTTTGATTTTTTAAGATATTGCAGCAGTAAAGTTGTTCACCAGAATGTAAGGTTGTGAGATGGTTAGCACGGTGGTTAGCTTCCTACCCCTGCACTTGCCCTCTGTGGTTCTGCATACATAATACAATTCCCCAGTTGTATGCTGCTGCATAGAATACAAGTATGTTTTAAGTAGGGTTGCTAAAAGTTTAATTCTGTGTACGTGCAGTTTGAGAAATGCACATCCAGACAAGCAGTTCATTATTACGTAGAATCCAAAGCACATCTGCTGCAGCCTGTTGATCTGAACAACCAAAGACAACAACTTCTTTTACAGGTCCTCAGCTATAAACTCTGTGCCTATTCCCGTCTCCTGCTCAGAAATTATTTGCTTTCTGGACCAACTGCAGATCTCTCTGTTTTTTCCGTATGCTTTAAGGAGGAGCTGATTAGGTTTGGATGGCTTATCTGGTTACGCAACAATACTATCACAACTGTCAAAACTGGCTGTTTTGTAAGCAACCAATTACTGGCATTATGAATTCTACTTCTGAACAATATATTTTAATAACTTACAGATAACCAATGCTAGGAAGAGGTACTTCATATGAAATAGAAATTTACTGTATCACATCTTAGAGAAGTTAATTAACCTCAGAAGCAAAAGAACTGTATTTGAAAGACCTGGGCCAGAGGCATACAGCACTATGGAAATATGTGCATAGGAAAGTTGTTATCTTTCAACCTTCTTTACTAGGACCAGATATTTTTTGTCCCCACTGCCTACTCTGCTTCATACACCAAAAACAGCTCCCTCTGTCTAACAGAATTTAGTGTTACGCGACTTCCACTGCCAACTAACCTGGAAACGAGGGGTAACTTGAACATTTGGGGGAAAAAAAAAAAAGACATCTTCAACATCCCACTGTTTGAGCTCCAATCCTCTTACCTGGTCATGAATGTCAACCATCACTGCATTCTGCTGTGGTGGGTGAACAGCTGGGCGTAATATACGAGGAGATACATTCGGTGGGCGAAAAGCTCGGGGCTCTTCTATTGCTTGCTGCTGTCCATAGGAGAGATGGTGATAGTTTTCATCTAGACTAATGGAATTATGTCGAGACAGACGATCTCTCCTAGTTCTCTGACGTCGAACAGGAGGACTGAAAACACATTAAAAAGATTAGAGATTATATAAATGCCACAAGTCCACAAGCCAATAAGAAGTTTCAAGAAATTTTTTTAAAATGCCCAGCAGGCCCAAGCTTGGGGCAATCCAAAACACGAACACAGACTGGATGATGAGCAGACTGAGAGCAGGTTTGCAGAGAATGCTCAGGTGTTGCTGGATATTGGTGGACAAAAAAATCTCGACACGAGCCAGCAGCATAAAACTGCAGCTCAGAACAATTTATAGCTCAAATGAAACAAAAGTATTTACCATGTGATCTACTCAGAAATACTGATGGTATTAAGCACCTCTCTTGAGCTGAGATGAAGAATCAAAAGCGTTTATCTGTCTGTACAGCCTGTTTACCTCCTTCTGTTTCGTGCAGGTGTGTTGCATCGTTCCCCTGAGAAGTGGTGTTGGTTGGGCCGAGCCAAAGGAGGCTGCCTATTTGATGTCATATCCCATGGTCGCATTGGTGGTGACGAGGCTGGTGATGCCGCCGTGTAGTCGAAGACTGAATGGGAAAGGCGTTGTCGCTTGGGGCTGGGACCGTCTTCACTCTGTGCCAGTGAGAAACAAACAAAGCATCTCCAGGTGAGTAAATTACAACTGTGTTTCAAGATTACTGTGCAGCTAGAAGGAAGCACTTCACTGCAGACTGCACTGAAACACCTTCAAGTTAATCAACTGCAAGTCGTCATCTATTCATTACTATTCTAACAAAAATTTGTGATAGCTCCCTTATCCCTGAAGAATAACCAAATTATATTTCAGAAACATGAATACATCAAATATTCTAATGTCTATCAAATCCAAATTATCAGGAAAGAGTGTAATATGAGGAATATAAGGTACACCTTGCCCCTACATTTAAGGGTTACAGTAGCATGAAAATACATAAGCCCAGCCTTCATGCTTGTGCTGTTGTTGCCTCCATCTTTTTGGTGAATGCAATGCTGTAATGGTTAATCAGATATTTGCTTTGTCCTGCAGCCCATTTTAGTTCTGCTAGCTTAGCAAGCAGGTGCACATTTTTCTACTTATTAGTATACATTTTCATTGGGGAATACTGATACATGATCTAAAAAAAAAAAAAAAAAAAAAAAAAAAAAAAAAAAAAAGCCCTAAAAAAAAATCACCAACCTGTCTATGTCTTTCAATAAACTCATCCAGAACTACATAAAACCTAGTTTTCAATGTTAGTGATACGAAAGCCATTTGCTTCCAAGTAATGATCTCCCAGCTGCTTCTGAATACAACTACCTCTTTTCCACTGTGCAACCATGCTATTGACTCTATTTAAATAGAGACAGATGCCATTCTTGTCAAAAAAATCCCACAGATGTCCCAGAATCCAGAAGCAAAGGCAATAAAAGTCTCTTCCTAAGCTTCAACCTTCTCTTCCATCAGAATTATAATCTCCCATGCTGTTAACAAATGACCAAGAATTTTCCACTCCAGAACCCCGTCTGAACACATGAAAAATAAAAGCAATACAAGAACTGCCATGCTGCATTCTACCGTTGACCTCAAGTAACACAGATAAAACACTGTAATAGGAGTCTCAAAAAAAAAAAAAAAAATAATTCCAGGCAACTATATTAATATCAAACCTGGGGACTACATAAATAGCAATGTTGGACTTCAAAGTATACGAGAAGACAAGCAATATGGACTGTAGGAAATGAACTAATATGAGATAATTATGGCCAATAAAGTACAACTCTTTCCCCAAAGATGCAAAGCATCTTAAACTACAGTTTTCATTTGTGTAAATAAAAGGAGGAGGTCCTTAAACAGAAGAACAGAGTCGGTTGTTCCTTTCACTTGCATTCCCAAACAGCGTTTTACACCAAGTTCTCATACTTCTATCTTCAAGTTGCAAGTCTGCCTAAAAATCTACACCAAACTTCTGATTCCAAACACCAAAATAGGAATCAAACTTGTCTTCTGAATCTTTCAGATGCCTCTGGTAGGTGAGACTAATGTTCATACAAAGAACAAGCATTCACCACTTTCCATGTATGCTTCTAAGATGCCTTCACAATTGCAGTAGCTAAGCAGTAGTATTGAACCTTAAAAATACATATATATATAAAATCTCTGTTTGCAAATAAGTGACCTCTAAGTGATCAGTTTTAATTTGGACAACGTCTAGCAAAATATATTTGCCTACAGATTCTTTTCTAAATTATTTTCATGCCTTTTTGTAACTGGAATTCAATATACTCAAAAAGCTGTAACTCAAGAATTCCACTTTTTAAATATATTTAAAACAGATACCTGTGCAGCAAAATAGAAGTTATCTAAATTAAAACAATTACCTAGGCAAAAAAGCCCCACACTGTGCACACACAGGGAAGGTGATGCACAACAAACCATCTGGTCACTCACCTCCCTGGCTCCATGGTGGAACTGGGTACGCCCCGGGGCCAGAGGTCACAGCGCTGGGGCTGGTGCAGAGACCCCAGGGCACTGGACACCAGCCACACAGGACTGCTGGGCTCCACACGCATCCCGTCCATGCAGCACATGCACACACACACGAGATAAGGGTGAGGTCACACAGAGGGCTCATTAAGAAAGGTTGCATGAGAAGACAGGACAGGCCGGGGTGCCCACAGCAGGGCTCATACGGATGAGCAAACCGACCAGCTGTGGATGCACAAGACTGACTCCTTTGTACCCTTCTTCTGCCCACCCCGTTACCCTACCCAGTGCACAGCTCCACAGGTCCTCCAGCCAGGGCCTCGGGTTTGCATCCCTATCAGCTGCAAAGTCCTTATCTGCCTGCAGTTTCTTCACAGTCAGTGTGGTTCACCGGGGCTGGTTTTAGACCTTCTCTAGTCCCTCTTATAATAGATAATAGGCTGGCAGATTTGAATCTCTGTGTACAGTTTCGTTTGTTGCTTCCTGCTCTTCCTTATCATGCCATTTGATAAAGTACTTGATCACATAATCTCACTGCAATAAGCATTCCCACATACTTTTCTCTATTACTGATGGACCAGTTTTAGTTTCATTACCATTCCCCTTCCCATTTGTTGGCCAGGTTTGGCATCCTGGAGATTCCCCTTACAGTTTCCTGCTTTTCTTAGTATTTCCTCTTGACACTGAAATGCTCCTTGACCAGACACACTCACAGGAATATGCACTCTCTCCTTCCACATACATAAACCAAACTTCCATTAACTGTACACAGAGAAACTGTAAGGATGTCAGACACTACAGCTGAGGAAGAATGAGATAAAGACTGTTGATGAAAAAGGGACAAACCAACACCTCCTCACTCTTTGCCCTAAACAAGAATATCTGAAATTAAGTGTGCGAAAAAGTACTGGGAGAAAAAAGTGATCGTATCAACTTTTAAGACAACAAACAAAAAAGCTCATGGGCTTTATACATAAAGACTGAGATTTCCTCTAAATATACCCTCAATATTCTAGACCTTAATAAATCTAGAAAGGAAGTACTACAAAAAAAAAACAAGTATATGAAATAAATTTAAGAATAATGTTCTAAGAATTGGAAAAAAAAAAAAAAAAAAAAAAAATAAAAAAAACAAAATTAATTCCAAGCCAAATTGGTGCTTTTTTTTTTCCAAGACAAAGTAAAAAATCCAGTTGGACACAGGGCTGCATCACGAAAGGTCTGTCTACATACAGATTTGCCAGCAGAGTCACACTGAGATGACACATTTTTAGAGGCAAAAGCTCTCTAGACAAATATTAGTTGGCAGAATAAGCACCATCAATAAGTATCTTGAGCCAGCATAACCGAGTTTGCCCAATGAATTTTGGTGGCTTGGTTGTGCTGGTTAGCAGAGCTCTGTTTTGTTGCTTTTTTTTTCATGGGGGAGGAGGGGGTGGCTGAAAACTGTGTGCTAGAACAGTTAGATGTCAAAACACTTTTTGCACAGCCCCTGCAGAGTTAAGCAGGATGTAGAACTTCTGCTTCAACCCACCACCTTCCATATCAACACCTTACCTGTTCTCATGAATAATAAAATACCTGGATCAGGCACCATGACACCACAGGAAGGAACTAACAAACCAATTATGTTTGCTGGTTGGGAACACGGCAGTGAAGTGCATGTAAAGTGTGCATGCAGTGAGAAAATAAACATTTGAATAGTGACGTCCACACTTTGCATCCTCAGACACCAAATTAAAACCTTAGATCACCAACATTCAAGACAACTGTTCCAAATAATGCATCACAAGAAGACTTAAATCCTGATTAGACTCCAGTGACAAGTTTCCTTACCAGTAATTATTTTAAATGTCACAATTTTTTTTCTAGCCCAAATTCAGTTTTAGATTTGTGACCTACAGACAACTTGAATGCGTGGCTAGCAGAATACACACGAGACAATTTCCTGATGAAGAAACGTTACTGTAATGTGAATTTGGCCTAATGAAAACTTGGAAAAGAAGAACAGACTTTCCCCAAGCCTGAGAGCTGGCTCAAACAAATCAGATGGCTGAAAGGAAGCCCAGTCAGACAGCTCTTAAGGTTCAGAAGTCTTAAGAGAGAGTGTACATGTTATGCTGTTTCCGAAACGTCACTTAGATAAGGGACAGGAGCATCCCCCCTACAAGGAGAGGCTGAGAGAGCTAGGACTGTTTGGCCTGTAGAGGAGAAGGCTCAGGGAACTCTCATCAACATGTACAAACATATGAAGGTAGAATGCAAAGAAGGCTCTTTTCAGTGGTGTCCAGTGCCAAGACAAAAAACAATGGACATAAACTGGCACACAGGAAGTTCCCTCTTAACAGCTGGAAGACCTTTGCTGTGCAGGTGACAGAGCACTGGCACATGTTACCCAGAGAGGCTATGAAGTCCCTTTCTCTGAGATTTTCAGTCCACGTGGATATGATCCTGAGCAACCTGCTCTGGGTAGCTCCGAAGGGGTTGGCCCAGAGAGCCTCCACAGGCACCTTCCAGCCTCAGTCATTCTGTGAATCTGAGGCAGCACAAAGTAAAGTGGGAAATGATAATGTTATGCACAAGGCTTTCAGTAGCATTGTCCTGTGAAAGCAGGAAAAAGCAAATCAAATAATACTTCAGAGCAGAGGTCCAAAAGTTACTATACAAAAGTATCCTTGTGAGCATGTGTCTGGTTTACACCACTTAACCCTGGCACACCCAGATTTTTTAAAATGGTACATAATTCGGCTCTGCTCTTCAAAAAGGTCTGTCAAAAGTTGAGAAAGTTATTATGTAACTAGAACATGAGATGAAAATTTCAGTAGCGACCAAGAAACACTAAGCATGACAATCGCTATTTCCATGGTTACAGCAAAGGGCATAGGAAAAAGAAAGAACGAGCTCACAAGAAAACTCTTTCTTGTCTTCTTTCTCTGGATTTAGGAAAGAATTATTTTATATTTCAAATCCTAGAAACAGAAGAGTTCTTAGCAGGACTGAAAGGAAATAACTTGAGTAAGGAAGAAAACCTTCATCTTTCTTCATTCTTCTGGAAAGACCATTTCCTAAAGCACTGATGAAGACCGCCAGGCAGAGCATCTGCTCAGCAATATCAGAAGGTGCACTACGAATGCTCTCACCCCAGCTCATACAATGACTTATCACAACATGAAAGAAAAAACAAGTCCTACAAAAATGAACTGAGCTGAGGTGACAGACACAAGGCTCTGGAGGGAGGACACGGCTGAGTTTGGGCTACTGTCAAGTCTGCCTAGGCCAGAGATGTCAGGAGATTTCAGGGATAAGACTCTGAAGATGAAAAGGCTCTTCAGACAATCAGCAAACAAAATACATAATTGTCATAGTGCCTACGTGAAGCACAGTTCTGTTGGTTTCCTTATTTTTTAATTTATTTTCAGTTATAAAGTTGTTATGATAAATGCAAAAGACAGTACTACTGCAAATGATCTAAGAGGTAAAAAGCTCTCAGGACAGAAATGCTGAAAAGCTTCTCATTTTCCTGAGAAGAGAAGGTGAGTATCACCAGCCCTTCTAAAGATGAAAAGCCAACAGAATAACTCTGGTGAAGCAGTTCTGTGTAACTATTTTTCTATCAAGTGAGGAATAGTTCCAATGCAATCCAGGCAAACTGGTTGGACAGCAATCAGCAGAAGGCATCATTAAGGTGCAACATTCTTCTTCTCTCCCACCATTTTTAAATAGCTGCTGTTAGAATTTTACTGCTGTTGAAGAAAAATGACTTGGCTTTAGACATTTTGACAAACGGAAATCAGTAGAGGGCACCAAAAAGCAAAGGAAGTTTTCATGATCTTTCACAAGAGCTCAGTAAAAGAAGATCAATTCCAAGTCAAGCCTCCACCTCACCGGATGTTTCAAGTATCAGTGCCTCAACTTGAAACAGGAAGAAATGAATTTCATACTCCATCTATATTCTTACTCCTACCTTTCAGATTTCTCCTGGGAAAGAGGAAGACCTCTTCAGAAAGATTAAACGACAAATCCTTTAGGAATCTAAAACTTACTCCATACAAATTCCCATGCAGTTCACGAGCAGTTTAGCCCACACTGTTATCAAGGCTGTTCTGAAAAGCAACGAGACTATAGTTTAAGTTTCAACTTGCTTTTCAGTAGTAGTCCTGAAGAACTCACTTGTCTTCGTAACTGCAAAAGTCGTGCTACTCTTGAGTACAGAAATAATTTCTTAGACTTTCTTTGAAGAGCAAAAGAGTAATTTGACTTGGGAAACAATGTCACTTTAAATCACATTATCTCCTATACTCAGAGTAAATCATATTGAAAAAAAAATATATAGATAGGCTTTAGCTAAGGTTCAAATAAGAAAATCTTGAGATCCTTAACTTATGAACCCCTCCAATACATACACTACTTTTCTTGCAATTACTGTTCTTTGCATGTTCTGTTTGCTGGTAACAAGCTCAGGGAAACCTTCATATGTAATACTATACATGCATATTTTCTTTTCCATGGGTTTGGTGATTGCGGAAGATAACATTACCATCTTCTCACTACAGCGAGCATATTACCTCACCCACACTGTCTCACACTCAATTCTCTGACTGTGCACCCTCTTTTCTAACTGCCCAGCCAAATGGAGCTTCCTCCATTTCAGGACAGCAAGTCTCCAATGCCCAAGCTACAACACCTTGCTAAAGAGAGGGAAAAAATAAAGGTGTATATATATTTCAAGAAACAATGGGATCTGCTGGGCCAGCAAACAGCAAAGTCCCTGAGATGAGGGTAAATGCCATTATTTAGCAACTGGAAGCAGACCTGTTGTTTTAGCAGATGGGTGATTAGGAACAAGCATCTAAGCAGTGCTGCAGGTCAGGCAGTAATGCCAGGACAAGGTGGGCTCCTGGTGACCAGGGCTGCCTTAGCACTCTGGGTGCCTCACCAAATGGTCAAACAACACACCAAGAAGAGTGTGTGCTCCCACAGCCACTTTCGTAAGGCTTCATGTCAATGAATGCATAAGTAGTAAGTACGTGACTACAAAGAGTCGCAATTGAAAGCCAACGCCTCCAGAAAATACCTCAACGCACAACTAGTTTCAAAACACACTTCTTAAGGAAGCAACAAACATCTACCTGGTCCACGAATGGGAAAAAGGACTCGGTACGAACAGAAAATCCGGAAGGCAGAGCCCCAAGCAGCACGCCTGTGCAGCGGTCTCTTCCCGGACAGCCGTCCCTTCTCGGCTCGTGACAGTGCGGCGTCCCGCAGGCACACAGGAGCCTCCGTCGCTTCGTCCCGACCCGACCCAAGTGCGGCCGCGGCCAACCGGCCCTCGCCCGCCGAACCGGCACGGCCCACGACCCGAGCACGGCCAACCGCCGCTCCCCGCCAGTACCTGCG